TTTAATACTTGGATAACTTTCTATATTCAGGCTTTTCCTTCTGAACTTGAGAGCATTGCTAACTATGGGCAGGAGTGATTGGCAAACTGATGGGTTTGCTAACAAAAGCTTTACTGCATCCTCTGTGCTTCTTTGAACACAGGATCTGGGCTGTTCCTCAAATCTCCCTCTTTCCTTGCCCCTTATCTAGTCCAAAATGCAGTGGTCTAACTTAATGATAAATGAAAGTGTCTGATTTGTAAAAAATGAGATTTATGTTATTCACGCTATTAGAGTTCCTCTGTTCTTATTGAGTGTGACTGTCCAGACCAATGTGTCAAGGAAACTGAAATTGTACTTCCACGAAACCAGTGAGAGCAAGCAAGAGAATTCAACTCAAGGTTCAGTTCTAATCTTGATGTAAAAATGTGTCATTGCTTGTGAAGTGAATTATTACTTCCCCAAATTATGAAATTAATCTAAATATTTGTACGTGCAAGGTTGTAACCAAGAATCACTGTAATAATTGGAACAGGCAGTAAATTGCACTTCCATAACTGGTTTTAAAAGCTGAGAAAGGATAGTGGTAATTACCTTCCCTTTTTCGCTTTTCACTTTATTATCTCTATTAGAACTGGAGAAAATGGCACCTAAGAACTTTAAATAGAAACCTGTTCTATAAGGTTGTCAGTCCTGAAGGATGGAGTTCATCTAAAAAGATTGATTTTGTCTCAGATGACTTATTATGTGCTCAAGGGCTACAGCTATCAGGATCGGTCACAAATGTTACCTTTGCATGAAATCTTAGAGGACCAGGAAAGTCTGATCCTACCATCTTGCTGACTGATTTAGAAAGCTATAAAATTACTTTTCTACTTTACACAGATCTTGAATGTCTGAGTAGAGGCTTATACTGTTTCATTGGATCCATGTATGGGTAAAAACTCAAAAACACCATGTATGTCATGTGGGAAGCTGAATGTCTTGAGATAATTTACCCAAGACACTGAAGAATAACATGGCATTTAGAAGTCCACCTTACAGCCATGTCCAGAACATCACCACAAGAAATCCTTATGTACTCTGAAAGTTAGAGCTTTGGCAATGATTTCAAGATTTGTAAACTGTATTTGATTTTAGAAGGAAGATTAAAGACTCAATCAAAACATCATACTTTGATAAAAGCTACATAAGTTGTTATAGTTTATTTTATACTAGAATATAAAGTTTTAAAGGATGAGAGAAACTGAATGCTTATTCCATGCTTTTATACTTCTTTTGTTTTTTTCTTTTTAAATAGTTTTGCTTTCTGCTAGAAGTAAAACTTTTGATGGAAATACTTAGAACTTTCAGAGTTTTTTTGGTGCAAACTTGACTTACAGATTAATGATCTTCAGGAAAAAAAAAACTTATTGATACATGCAAGCTGTATCATTTTAAATGTACCTTTACTGAATAAATTAGTACAGGTAGAATGAGTGGCATTCTTGACATCTCCCTTCAGCCACCAGCAGTTTGATGCCTTCCCTAACCCTATCTTTTAGGTTGCCTCTGATGCAGACTGCTTAAATCAATAGAAAATTCTAAGTATGAATGGTCCTGTTGAGGTACCTATTTGTTCCCATTAAGGAACTTAAACTAGTCACTTATATTTTCAGTCAAAATGCTTCTTTCATGAAACAGCAAAGGGAAATTCAGGTCTCTCTAATCATTGCAAACAATTTCCTTGAAAAATACCTGCTGTTGGACTTCTCAATGAAGGCTTCATGTAATCAATGGGGAGAGCTCTGTCAATGGCAGTGGCCTTTGCAGCGTGTGTGGTTATAGTTTTTGTTTGCATGAGGATCATCATAATCATCCTGTGTTGTATTTGTACATTTGTCAAGGTCAATAAAAGAAACTAATCTATTTTCATTTGTTTTCAGTCAATTTCGCTACACGCATCTTGAGTGTTAACAGGTTTTAGAAGTAAATGTATTCAATTATGCTATTGCACTGGTTGCATAAAACAAGGACAATGTTGTTTTAAAAATGCATTTATGTGTGCTATATTGACTTTTCTGTCCATCAATCAGACACACTGTGATCAACCACAGAGCAAATTTCTCTGCTTCCACTCATAGCACAATGGAACTCTCATCTAGAAATGCATGTATTATTCCTCGTAGCTAATAAAAATGCATTCCATTTGCCTGTTTTCTGTGCATTTATGAGCCAATGATGTAAATATTTAATATGTCTAAGAATGCAGTATAATATTCAAGAACTTGACCAAGACTATGTCCAATCACTTTGACAGATTCAAATCCCAGATGTCCATGGTTGGCTCTGCATTCACAGATGTGAAATGTGCCAAGATACTGTGTTCTTGCACAGAGGTTAGCCTGCGTCATGTACTGACAAGATTAATTACAGACCTCTGAACCTGATATGTTTTCTTAATACCCGGCATGGCTCTTCCTTTCCTCGCTCAGGCTGAAATATGTGGCTTGCTCTTACATAATTCAACAGCAGTCTTCTCTATGGGTGGTACTGTTTTTAGTAGTTGTAAATGCCTGCACATTACGATATGATGCACAGCAGTTTGCTCAGAGTTATTTCAATGATTATGGAAAGAAGGAAAATAAGCTTCTTTCCAAAATGTGAGAAAATTGAAGAAGAAATACTAGCCATACAATTCCCAAAATAGTACAGAATAATTCTTCTAGCTTGTATTCTGTGCATGTCCTCTTTACTCAATGGAAATAATAAAACATGTAGATTCTACTTATTGGTGCTGCCCAAATTCACTTTTCATCTTCCTAATCAATATTCTAATATTTCCTCTGGAACCTGATACTTTTCTTATTGTTCTTATTTTCTTATTTTTGATAAAACTGTGCATATTTAGTATCTGGCAGTTACATAAGAAATGAAAATACACTGCAAAACTTAATCTGTATGGTTGGGAGTATTCTAGAACTGTACAATGATAAAAGTACCTGGAAAACAATTTACTATGTGAAATATATCCAGATTTATTAGCCTATGTAATAAGATGGAATGCAAGTGTTCATGAAGACATAAGAACCATTTTTTTCCTTTCTAATTAAAGGTATCATCTGAAGGTGATGATGATATGTAGCGGCATAGCAGCTCTAGAATTTCTATATGGTCAAAACCAACAGCGAAATACTGACAGAAAGCCAACAAGCCAACGAATAATCTAAATAATTTGGTTGAAACATGGGAAAAATGTACTTTATTTTGGAAAAGAAATCTAGAGTTTTTTTCCCAAAGTCCCAAATGGACCTGGGGAGTGTTTCGTGAGTCTCAAGATAATTTTGATTAAACTTTTAAAGGCTACAATAATTCTTCTCCTTGGTTGCTAATATTCTCTTCTGTGCTTCAGTACTTCATTTTTCTCTTAATCCTGTGACGCATTATACTTGCAAAATAGTGAAGTAGTATGTGTGCTCTGTGATCAAATGTGTGCACAATATAAATGGACTGTTCATGAAATCTGTAGAGTACTGTACCATAAAAGCAGCTGAGTTTGAAAGATTTCACAGCAGGACCTGATCTGAGGTTGGATTAGTTGACCTCCAACCTAAAACATTCTACAACTCTGTAGTTCTGGGCTTACAGGGTTAGTTCTGCAGTAATATTAAAGACTCCTAGATAGACAATGAGATGTTAGTGGAGGTTTCAAAAACCAAATTGATCATTCAACAAGATAGATGGGGGGAGAAAGGGAGGGTCTGCTGTAACCCTATGATTGTTCTGGAAATCTAAAAGGAAGAACTTTGCTTGTACCACGCTTGTCACGAATGTAGAGGTCTTGCCAAATCTTAATTACAGTTATTTGAAGTTCAATTAGAATGCCTTGAGGTTTGGGATCAGTTGAAGCTTCATTTTTAAAGCTGGTTGTAAATTTCCTGACAACTTTTCCCATTGAAGAAAATTTGTTTCCACTAAGACAAAGTTCTCCATTTAAATAAGTCGTTTCTAACAAAACTTTTATCCTGGCAGGTTTCTGCAGCCCAGAATTCAATTTCCATAACATGTGTGTAAGAGGCAGACAGATGAACTGCTGAATTTCAGCCCCTAATATTTAATCAACTCCCTGTTGGAGCACTTAACATAAATGTCAAAGACCAATGTTAAAATCTCAGATGAGAATTAGAAAGAAGAGTCCCCTATATCAGTTAAACTATTGCAGAGATCCGTACCCTGTTCTTTTTTCTCTCTAGGCTCATGCTATATTTTTTATATCTAGTCTCTTACCCGTTGTTGATATCTCTTGATATTGGAAGTGAGAAATTAACATTATTGTTTTCAAGGTCTCTTGTGTTAAACTTGACACAATATATAACATGTCATTAATATAGCTAGTATTATCCATTTTACCCACAATTTGTGCAAACACTGTAAGAAGTTGCTCTTTACTTGGAACTAATTGTAGGAAAGCAGAGATCCAATTAAATTCAGTTGTTTTTTTTAATGGACAACCTGGATGGCACTTTGAGCAACCTGGTCTAGTAGAAGGTGTCCCTTCTTGTGGCACGGGGTTGGAACTGGGTGAGTTTTAAGGTGCCTTCCAACCCAAACCATTCTATGATTCTATGATCTTTATATACTATCATGGCAGGAGAAGAATTTGGACTTTATATCAAAATGACAATAAGAGTTCAAGATACCTGATCTCAAAATCATGGCATGACATGTAAAAATGAGAGATATTATAATATGTTAATTGGATTATTCAGCTTCCTTCAGCACTTGTAAAAAAAATAAGCAATTTAATGTCAAGGTTAAAACTTAACCTTTGAATATATTTTACCTATATTACAGTGTAAATTTTCTTTCCACTTCTTAGTTATGTAGATACAATACACAAATGTAATATATGCCTTGTAGGCATCTGTGTAGAAACGGCAGATGAACCCAATTTTCTGGATCCCAGTTTGGGCTATTCTATGCTTTTATTGTTTGAACATGATAGATTCCTGTTCTATATGATTTATAACTTGTCATTACAGGACACTGTATTCCTCCAGACAACATTAATCTGTCAATGACTTTGAAGCAAAGACGTGACTGATGAAGTTACGGAACTGGTGACATAGGTAAGTTCTTCTTTGCTTTTCAAACCTTTCTTCCTGAAAGTCACAGCTGTACCTAGACTGGGACCACAAACCAATTCTAACTTCTGAGGCAAGGAACACAAAGTTGATTGAGACACCCTTTTGTTTTAATGAATTTTCCTTTTTAATTTCTTAAATAAATGCCTCTCTTCTTTAGCTTTTTTAAAAAACACTTTTTAATTAAGTAAAAAATCCCTAGTTTGGTAACTTCTATCAAATAATTTTTAGCTGCTGTTGGGTTGTTTTCTCTGATCCATCTTGGATTGATTTTTCAGTTGCATTTCTTACTGAAATGGGTAGCAACATGTCTCCCTCCACTTAACTCAAGGATTTTATGTTGAACTCTCTTCTGCTGTTGTATAGAATTTTCAGAAAGGTACCAGTGAAGTGTTTGTCTTTTCTTGTTCTAAAACCAGGAGTAGGAGTGACACTTGCATATTTAAAGAAACAAAATAAGCTCACCTTTGAAATTCTGAAGCGTTATGTTTCTACCTCTATAATGTTGTTCAGATCACTAGCAAACCTCTATACTATTCGTCCTAGAAAAATATTCATTTATATCCTCCACTTAAGTACCAAAATAATTGTAACAGTCAGATAAGTACTTGTTAATTGAGTTTTGCATAGGGGGGGGAAAAGATGAATACAGAACCAAAGGGATACATTTAGTCTATAACAGTCATGCTGCGATCTGATTCTGCATTTCAAGACCCTTCACAGAGACTATATGAAAAGTTAAAAGGAACACTTCATACTATTTGACTACACTGAGATTTTAACTTATTAGACAATGTAATGGATAAAAACTCTGGTCAAAACATGCCATAATTCACTTGACAACATTGGAGCACTATAAACTCTATCAGCAGTACAGATAGAGTCATCTTACAATTTTGGGTAGAGCACAAAAGGGAAGATAGATAGGAAAGAGGAAAAATTTATTGGCGTGTAAAGCTCCTGTCAGAAGGGTAGGTGAGCACAGAGAGAACATAAACTGTATTTGCAAGTTAACCCCACTGAGGAAAACAGTATGAAAAGCATCCTATAAGCTAAGGTAAAATGGGTAGCTGAACAATGATCTCATTCTCCTTTCCACTGCCTGGTCGGGATCCTAATCTATCATATTACTACATGGCTCCAGCTATGCCATTACTTCATCTAGTGGAATAGTTTGTGCAATATCGAACATACCGATGTCTTCAGAGTGTGTCTGGTTTATTCAGACAGGTCTTCAGTCTAAATGCTGCTATTGTATATGTGGTGGGTTGACCTTGGCTGGACACCCGGTGTCCACCAAAGGTGCTTTATCTCTGCTCTCTTCAGCTGGACTTTCAGGGTATTATCTCAGGTTCATGAATATGCAGTTTTTCATATAACTTTATGTGTGACAGTTTTATTTTTTAATTTACTCAAGCCTTTTTTGTGTTCCATCAGTTAATCAAGGTTGGTTCATGGAGTTACATGTATTTGGTGGAAAATTTCAGTTATTTCATCTGCTGAAATTTGAAAAGAAAAAAAAATCTAATTTTCTAGTGAATAAAGAATTAAATGTAGACTTGTTTCATAGTTAGAACATATAGAATCTTAGACTGGATTTTGTTGGAAGATACCCATGACTGTTACCATGTTACCACGGCTGTTTAGTGACCTAAACCACGCAAAATAAGGTCAATTTTGAATTAGAAGTATCTGCAATGGGAGGGAAGAATCAAATTGTTAACTATTTTGCTTTGTCTGGTTTTGTGTGTTTGTTTTTTCTGTTGTTTTGGTGCTTTTTTCTGAAATGAGAAATAAAACATTCTGTATTTTGCAGATTTTTTTTTTTAAATGTATAATTTAAATTTTATAGAATTACATTAAAATGTAAATTTCATTGTATTCTAGGACCAATTTAGTTGGGAAATTAGAATTTCTGATGCTCTTCTATTAGTTTAGAAACAATATTCTTTGCTTTTTGTCTTGAAAAGAAAAAGAAATTCTAAACCTACGCACAAGTGAATCACTTGGCTTCATTCCAGCTTGACTATGGAAAATGACAACAGCATAAGTACCTGAAATGAACTTGAAAGATTAACAAGTAAAATGTGCAAAGGAAATGTTTATTCTTCACATTAGCTTATGTCTCTGCAAACAACATGGCAAACAGGAATCTGTTAGTTTCTTCAGTGCAAGTAACTAGGCATGTTGACAGCCAGAGAATCCAGTCATTCCTAATGAAGCCACTGAGCAGTACCTCTTCTGCTTTTAGTACTCTAAAGCTTCTATCTGTATTTAAAGAACATATTTCTAACTCAATGAGAAAGAAATGTTTATTCTTATGTTATCTAGGACAGTACCTTGCAATCTGCCTTGAGGGAAACATAGAAAATTGCTCCAACTGGGAGTAAACTTAACAATCGAAGTATGTCAGATAAGTTGCTTCTTCCTTTGTCACATCATATCTCTGTCCTAAACAGAACTTGATGAAGAAATACCAGCACCCTTTTCTTTATCTATATATGTAGATAAGCTATACATAAAAATATGTTATTTTCATCTTTATGTATAAAAAGAGTGTTGCCAATGTAGTAATAACTGTTACGGCATTGTCTTGTTCCTAATATGGAAAAATCTTAGAGGTAGTTATAGATGGGTCATCCTTCCTTGCCTTTGTGTAGTAGTATGCTCATGGATATGACTAGACACCTAGTTAGTCACTGTGATCACCGGTATCTCATGGTAAACAAATGTGGAAAAGAATGTGGATCCTTAAAGAGTAATGGAAGGAAAACAAAAAGTTTTTCTGTTAAAAACTTTACTACTTCCTATTTCTGTAGAGGACAGCAGTTCCTAAATAAATTCTGTTTGCAAAGTGAGTGGCATCTTCTTAAGAGGCATTTTGGTACTTCTTTTGGTAGAAGGCTTGTGGCCAAGAGATATTTCTTAGGAGCAGGACCTATGCTGGAAGCAAGATCCAAAGCACTGTTAAGTTCTCAGGAACACAGTATTGATCATCTTTTGCTTTTTAGCCATTCATGTTGGACTTAGCAATTTATTTCTGAGTGCTATAGCAATCCTTGTGATCTGCTGACAAAAAAGAGGTGCTACTATAGCCAGAAGTATGGATTTGAGACTAAAAACATATTGGGAAGCTGTAATGTATGTCAGAAAGGAACATTTAGCTGTACTAATAATTAAATTCCCATCACAAAATGCAGTGCCGGGACTTCCAACTGGTTTTGTATCTCAAGAAAGGGGAAGACTTTATTGGTTGTAAATAGAAGAAAACTAATTAGAGTTAATTTTTGCATTGCATGTTGATGCAGTCAAACACTTTTAATAGCAATTAAACACATTAAAACAAACTACGATACCAAATTAAAGATTAGTCTATAAAAAAACAAAACTAAACAAAATGTTTACTCAGTTCTTGATTGAGTTTATGGGTTCATCATGATTTATTCTTACTTTTAACTGGGTTTGTAATTCTAAAAGATCACGTGTAGAAATCATAAAGTTGTAATACAGGATTGGTTTTCAAACCAAAGGCACACACTTCTATGTCATCACCACTACAGATTAGCAACATGAGAGTAAATAAAAGGTGACATGCTGTCGAAATATTCAGATTATCCAGAAGGGCAAGCAGCCCTCTTATTAAGAGATGTTCCCTCAGGAGAAAAGAGTCGTCTTTGATTCAGTAATCACATTCAATATATTAAGGTTGTATTACTGCAATCACTAAATAAACAACTATGGTTAGACATATGATTATACAGGTATGAAAATAAGGCTCTGGAATAGCAAGGAGAGAAGCTAAATGAAGTCAAGGCAAAAGGGACCAATATTATGGGTGTGCGGAAAAGGTTTAACTGTTCTGGCCAAGACTTACAGACATAACTTATGATTTGTGGATGTTTCTTATTTCTAGAGTCTCAACAAAATTATCTTAACATTTTCATACTTGTCAGACAACAGCTGAAGCTGAATGCCTTAAATGAAGTGCAGGTTGCTAGAGAAATCCATGTTATTATACAGTATATTTCTGAAGGAGGCTAATGTCCAGTTCCTGCAGCTTAATTTTTGTTCTTACAATGCTTTGCCACATGCTCTTTTATGTGACTGTCACACTTCATACTTTCCCTTATAAATGAGTATTGAAATGAGCAAAAGGCTAATACATAAAACTCTTCACAGAAGCTGGCATTTACTTTTATGACAATGGTGTTAATTGGGAGCTCTGAAACTAATGCAGTGCTGAAGAATGGCAAAATGTTTTTTTCTCTTTCCTTGTCTTTTGCTAGTTGACAGTGTATAGTAGTGACTCATACACCAGGAAGGCTTCTGCTCTTTTCAAGTAAGTTAAAAAAAACTGATAAGGAAAACAGCTTTTGTATGCAATTAATGTGAACATTGATGAAGCAATCTAGGCAAGCACAAGCATATGTAATTGACTTACAACTGCATTTGAATGAACACTGTACCCTTTGACTCCACCGTTCCACTAAAAATTCTCATACAAGGTCGTTGTGCTGTCACTGATGATGAGGATGTCCCAGAGGGAGAAAAATGCCAGGCACCAGACAAACTGTAACTTTTTTTTACACTTTTAATACTCCAATGCAAGTCAGGAACAATATTCATTCCAAATGCTTTATGCTCCGTAATTTCACCCTTACAATGTCACCAGTCTTGGTCTGTATTTCTTGAATTTGTCAAAGATGAAGCTACAGCTACTGAAGCAAAGCTGAAGTTGCATCTCTCTCCAGCACACATAATATGCTGTGCTGCCAGGGGAGAGAAAAACGTCTTTTATACTGGAGATTTTTCTGCTTCTTCTTGAGTTTTTTTTTTTCTTGCTCTGTGGGTTTTCTATGTCTCAGTTAAAGTTATGGTCATATTCTCTCTATCTTTTATCCTTCCTTCCTCCTTTCAATTTATAAGGACTTGCTTTATTTCAGAAAGAGATGCATTCCATTGCAGAAGAGTACTGAATTATGTTG